GTATCTGCCTCTCCCCTTGACTGCTGTTTGAATGCTGCAGACTTGATTAATTTAGTTCTTTCTATTTGTGACATTAAAAATGCACACACACACATATTCTTACAGAGGATTCAGAAAATGTCATACAGCTCGCTGAAACCTGCTCAGAATGGAGACTGATGGTGTCCCAAGACCCAGGTTCAGTTTTGTTTGCTGCCAGAGATTTTTGTGTGTTAACAGCTTATCTCTGGATGCAGTTTCTACATATAAAGTGGTGTTAACCAGGATTGACTCTGTCACAAGGATGCTGTTAGAGTTAACAAGTTGAAGGATTTAAAAACTCCCAGAAATCAGAATAATGTAAACAATGCATAGAAAAGACAGACAGATCCTGTCTATTTCACATAATTCTTCCCAATATGGCATCTCCATCGTCTTGCTGTGATCAGAAGTGTCATCTGTTGTACTTTTTTGTGGAAAGCAGCAGAAGGATGTTGTTTCACAGGGAAACTTTGGGCGGTCCCAGGCTGTGGGCACAACTGTGCTTCCTACATCTCTTCTGTATGCCCCGGCTGATGCTGCTCCTGTGTGAAATTGCAGCTGACATGGAAACTGTGGCAACTTTCACACAACCCCTTCACTGGGTTTCAGTGTTCACTGAAAGTATGGAAAAAAAAAAAAAAAAGAAAACAGTGTTTTCCCATTTGTCGCCCTGAATGAGTGAGTGAATGAGAGGCCGGAGAGCTGTTGCGATGCAGCCACTGCCAGCAGCCATGCCGAACTGCATGGAGGCAGTCATGCCAGACCCTGTCGGAGGAGAGGGGGGAGCAGTTTGACTAAGTTGCAGTAAATCTGTAGTGAGTTTTCAAGGGGAGACGAGGAAGAAAGGAGGCAAGACTAGGGCAGTGTGACTGGTAGCAAGCCAGTTTATACATAGGAGGAACCGGATTGTGGCACACTACACGCACTGGAATTTGGAGAAACATGACTGAGGAGCAAGATTTTGGGTGCTGGAGGAGAGGTAAGTCATAGCGTGGCAAGGGTGCAGCCTTCAGCTTTGCTAGAGGATTTGAATTGAGGCACAAAGCGAACGTTCTGAATGAGAGAAGCTAGTTAAAGCTGGACACATCCTTGGCGGTTAGCATCATCAATAGTTACCTGTCTAAATTGAATGTAACTCTTCAAGGCTGCCCCAGCCTCTCACCCCGTTGTGCAGTTCCTGCAGGAGTGCTGCTCCAGAGTGCCACTCTTCTGCAGCCTCCTGGTTGTAACCCAGATTCATTCCGGGATGGTTTATCTTAGTTTATCCTCACAGAAACAGCTCTTGTTGATGTTTACCCCAATCTATTTTTAGAATGCAGTTGTGCAAAAAATCATTTTGCAAGGGTACTGTGAGCTTATCAGAAAATCTTATTAAAAAAAAAAAATTCCATGTCCATGCAAAGCAATAGTTACATTGTTTTGTTGATTTAATTGATAATTAAATTATCAAACTGTTGGTAGTGCAGGGAATATTGAGTGCTCATGTTGTGCTGAGAACTTGAAAGGAGAAGATGTGGTATTTCACTGTCTGAAAATGTCAGTTCACAAGTTGAAGGACTACAATTTCCAAATCTGTCATGAACAAAAGGCTGTTGACAGATCATTTTATCCGTCTCTGCTCAGGAAGAGCCAGGAAATAAGCAAAACACATGCAGTAGAGGTTTTTGAGAGCTGAATGTTGAGGAGCAAGTATCTGGTGACACTGCCAGTAATGTGAAGGCAGGGCAAATTGAGGAAGTTTTCTCAATGGATAGGTTGAAAGCTGCAGAGGAAAAATGACTGCCAGGTAGGTATTTCTAATTCATACTGGGGGTTTGGGGCATTATCATAGTATTTTTACCTAATAGTAATATGAAAAGAAATGTGAGCAAGAGTGTCCAAGCTACATAACCTCAGTGTAGTTGAGCTGCTATTGCATTCAGGAAACTGAGACCAAAATTACATCCAGTGGCACTACCTTTGCTTCCCTGTTGCCTACATCACCTCAGAGTGCAGATCACCTGTGCTTTCAGTCCCTCAACTTCCAATGCAATTTTCTTGCTTTTTGTATTGTCTAATTAAGCTAGTGTGATGCAACAGCTCATTAGCCTTACTTTGTTTTCCCAAAGAAATAAAATAAGTAGTTTGCTTGCTGTTTTCTTTTTCCACCCATATCTGTGTATTTAGGTTTCACATTTAGAACTGAGTTGTACTAATTCCTGGGGTGCTGATTCTCTTGTGGCAGAAGCTAAGGTACTTAACAGTGTCAGTGATTGATTTTGGGTGGCCAGCTGGACAACTTGGCTGGCATGTGGCTCATGCAGAATCATCGGGCTTTAAATCATGAGAATCAGCAGAGTTACTTGACTTTCAGAAATGCCTGGAGGAAAAAATATATCAGTTTTTGAGGAGCTATTCAGACCACATTCAATTTTCACAGCTAGATTACCTATCAGAATTATGTGCCCAGGCCCCCACTGAATTTTTAGAGAACAGCAAGACACTTTCCAAAGCCAACATCAAACATACAAGGAAACAAAATCCTCAAAATCAGGCAACTGAGTTCTGTGCTGGAGATGGCATCACAAGAATAGTCCAGTTATGTCACATCATCTTACATCGCCTCAGAAATACAGCATTATTACTATACACCTAAACTCTGTATTAAAACAAAGGCATTGTTCACTTAAAAAAAATGACATATTGTTCTGTTATGCTATAGGAAAACTGGGATATCTCTGCTTAAATCAGTGGAATGGAATTGAACAGATTTATAGCCTGGCAAAATTTACTCCTAAATCTAAGTGGAAATAATCTATCCACATGGGAGTTGCTAGGAGTATGCCAGACAGCTGAATTTATAGAAATAAAGATGGGAATTGAAGCAGGAAGATATTAATTCTGATTCAAAGGAACCTTAAAAATGGATGTATTGTTAAAGGAGGAATATTAGTATGTTTTATATCTAAGCCTCTCTTATTTGAAAAGTTTGGGTTTTTCAAAGTCCACTAACCCCTGTCTTCACAGAGTAGAATTTTCTCAGGGTGTGAATCGTCTTTCAATGTGTACATACAGCCCCAGGCAGAAAGAGAGCCAAAGCATTAATTCAAACTTCTGAACATTATCATAATTCGAATAATAAACGGTTTGAAACAGAGTGTCACTTTTAAAGTGCTTTCATGCAGATGGTCTTTTTCTTAATTCCCAGCCCCATAGTTAGTGAACTGAGCTTATTGAACTGCTTGCCAATTCTGTTAAGAGCAGATGGAGTGAAACAGGATAAAGGCAGTACTTCAATGTGGCTCCCATGCATTGGCTCCCACCCCTAGATGCCATTATTGACATACATTTTACAATTCCACATCTCTCACCATCAGCGGTTAGAATTATAAAGAGGTTGAGCATACTTGGCTTGAATGTCAATAATCAATAAGGATGCTCATCTGGCTTAATAAGGATAAATTGTTGCCCTTGAAACAACATACCATTCCAGCAGTCAAAGTGAACTAAGCCTAGTTCCTCGATATTTGTACTAACTCTGGGTGTCTGTGCACACCCACTTTTGTTATGCATTTCTGTGACCACTCCCTAACACTGTGGATTCTTCTTGTATGTCTTATAAAAATGTATTAAATTAATTCTTTTGAGTGCTCCCCTTTTAAAATCTAATTTCTTCCACTCCAGGCTGGCTTTTTAAACTTTTTCTATTTTTCTAAAGACTTGCATTACAAATTCTGTCTTTCTAAAAAGCTCCCAGTTTCCACTTCTGAAGCCTGCTGACAAAACATGATAGGTAGGACTTTTCAGAACTGCCTGCTGTGGGTGGACCATCACTGCCTCTAAAGCCTGTGATCAAATTCTCTCTAGCTTTAGCTAGGGCAGATAGACATCTGTTGAACAGATTTAAATTAATTCTGAGTGCTTAGGAAATAGTGATTCTACTTCTATGGGAAGCAGCTATCATTTTTATAGAAAGCATGAATGTTCTGATCACAAGAATATAAGTAATACATAAGCACAGCTAACATCAAGATCAAGAGATCCCTGGAGACTTGAATTTCAATGTTTTAATAACTAAAACAGGACATTTAGTAAATCAAACAGGCCAGAGGTCATCATCTGGCCCTCAGACTAGCTGGCACTTTCAATCTGCGGCTAAATGGCTAAACTCCTTCTGTGTAAATAGCAGTGGCTGCACGCAGCTTTCCTTGTGGGACTTGTCCCAGGCATTTTCTGAGACACCAAGCCAGGCTATGGCAGGCACCATGCTAGCAATGTAGCAGTAGAGGTGATTGGCTGTGCTGCACTCATACACTGACACTTTTTACTTCATTAGTACAAATATGATGTAGTTGTCCAGAACTCTCACTGACCTCCCCAAAGGTTTTGTGACTTCAGATCAATTTCCATTCAGGGATGTCCTTCATCTAAATTTCTTTTCAAAGTTGGCAAGAGGTCTGTGATCTGTATCTTGCAGACTTAGACGAATATAAGTTGGAGAAGGTGTGGTGGATGCAGGAAGCATCCAGTATTGCTGAGGCTTGCTGGTAAAATGTTGGGATGGAAATTTGCAGCGTTACTTTCCACTTCCTGGATGGACAGGAGTCTTCCAGCCATGAAGTCTATACTGTCAGTAAGTTTTAAATGTTAATAGCAGGACTTGACAAATTCCATGCCAATTACAGTAAAAATGGGAGCTTCTGTGATGCACAGTAATCATAAAGCTCTGTTTGCTCTCTGAATCCCAGGAGTTAGTATAAGAAGGTCTAATACTTGGTGTGTCTTGCCACTGAGTGCGAGAATGACAGATCATTTTTTTGGCTGAGAATTGGGTCTATGTCAGTTCGTCTCAAGTGAATAAACGTAGCCTTGCTGTGGAGGTGCAATGTCCCAAAGACACACTGCTGTGTAGTAGTTTCTGCGAGCTGGAACCAGATACTTATGTTTTAACGTTTGCTCATGTCACCTTTAACCTTCTGTTTCTTTCCCTTTCCTGGCAGATTTTTATTGGTGAGATATCCATGTATTTCATAAAGTCAACCCGAGAAACCCTAATTATTCAAGAGAAAACTATTTTGACTGGAGAATGCTGTTACCTGAACCCACTGCTTCGAAGAATAATACGTTTTATAGGTAAGCATATTAAGCACTGCAAGTTTAGTCCCTGTTTGCACCAAAACAGAATGAAACATCCTAGTAATCTACACTACAAAATTAATTAAGCTGTGAAATCTTTGCAGGCGTCTTCCACCTTAGCGGGATAGTCACCCTCGGGATTTGCAAGGTAACTTTCCAAATGTGCCATATCATGCTGTCTGGAGCTGGTTTATATCCTATTCTGCTGAGCTTAATGCTTCTTCTGGACCCTTGAAGAGAGGTTATGCCAATCAAATCCTTATACGAATAATTCCATCATTGCTATTCTGTGTAAGCTACCCATTTTACTTACAAATTGGTCCTCACCAGTCCATCTCTGGCATTTTTCTTTTCAGCGCTAATTTTAACATCCATAGCTCTGCCACATAATGTTCAGCTGAGTACAGTGTGAAAAAGCCCAGAGCCCACTTCAAAATAATGTTCTTATTTTTATTGTATTTGTTTTTTGTTAGAGCTTTCAATGAGTTAATCATTGAGAAAGGAGTGAAGAAGTTCCATCACTAAACCATTTGGAGGTTGCTTTATATGGTGCTTGCGAAGTGTTTATGAAAAATGCCTTTTTCACAGTGTTGATTAGTGGAAAAACTGCCTACGAGACCTTACTGAGGGGACCGTCCCATGGTTCTTTTGGAGCAGGAAGAAAAACAGCACTGCAACTTGCATTTCAACTGTGGCACTGATAATGTCATCCTCCAAAGGCTTCCCAGTTCATAGCTATTTAAGGCTGCCCAAACAGCACCCCTCGGTGTTTAGAGATAAGGAGGGCTGTTAGCTCACTTACTACTTGCTTGTAGCAGGAGAGTAAGAAGAGGGCAGCTCTGAACTGCATGCGCAAGGGGTTCTGGCTCCCCTCCTTCTTAGTTGTTCATGAGAAGTCCCAAGTTCCGTGGGACGGGATGGCTTGTCTCACTGCTGGCATGTGCCAGTGGTAAATATGGCTCCTTACTGACCAGGAGGGGCTCTGCCCACAGAGCATCATGGCACCTCCTTCCTTGCACACTCTTAGAGATAAAGCATCCTTACACACTGCATCTTACAGAGAGCTGGCTCTGAATTCACAGTCAGAGTTAAAAGAAGCAAAAGAATAAAAAGCTGAAAATACCTGGATCAGTTCTTCCCTGTTGCTACTGAATCTTTGAGCTTTATCTGGAAGAAAAATGTCTTCTGTGACTTTAGCAAGGGTTGTATTGCTTCCATGGAGCACAGCCCCGGCTGCAGGCAGGGATATTTGCTCAGAGCATGGAGTGAAAAGACTTATCCTGTGTTAAGGTTTTCAGCAGCAGCAAATATATGCTGCAAAGGAAGAAAAGCCATGGTTTTCTTTCTTCTTTTCCTCTCTCTGCGCCTCCTGCTTTATGCATGCAAGTTAGGAAGTGAAATAAGTTTTTGCCTTCTCCCGAAGTGGGGGCGGAGACGAACCACCTGTGGTTCATTACTCAGGCCTGGCCTGTGTGCTGCTTATCAAACTAAAAGACATGGGAATGTCGTTAAAAGTAAAATACCTTTGAACTTCAGATAACCTCTGGGATATATTGATATATAGTAAACTGCCATTAAGAGAGAAGCAGGGTACTGGAGTCCAGTGGGCCACTTAGGGCTGTTTGACTGTTCCAGCACATTCAGCATGTTGCAAAGTCCTAATCAAATACTTTCGCCTGTGGGGTCAGCACTAAAAGAGCTTAGACATGGAGGTTAAGCACTTGCTCTATATGTTTTCTTATAGTTAGCTTTATTCTCAAACATTCATGCTATTATTTCTCTTCTGGTGGAAAAGAAGAGGGGTATGATGATACAGTAGACTCTCAGAGAATAGTAGGATAGGAAACCTGATAGAGAAATCAGTCTTGGGGTTGCAGCTATATTTGTTTTCCTGAGAAAAAAATGAAGTTAACATTGTTAGAAATGACTTAAAGTGTTTGACCAATCTTAAACTACACTGACTGCTTTTCTTCTGAAACCTTCTCCCTGCCTCTGCAGTAAAGTGAGAGAAGCAGAGTTGGTTGAAAAGTGGCTGAAATAATTTATAAAAGGAACTAAAAGTAACCACACATTTTTCATTGACATTCCGCCTGTGCTTTGAAAATATGATGTGGACTGAGCAGCTGTAGCCCACACTGGGTCATCAGGGATGTTGGCTCCATCCAGCTGCTTACTCCAGAAAGAGGCTACCTGGATGCTCTTACATCCAGGCTTTGTAGAGACTACCAGGTTGCTCATACATGGATTTCCCTGTGTGCATCTTCTATTGCTAAACATGAGGGCCCTAAGTTACAGAGCTGATTATGTAAGTTACCTTCCAAGATATCCTAGCAACCAGTCTGGATTCATAGAATCATAGAATTGTTTGGGTTGGAAGGGACCTTGAAGACCATCTAGTTCCACCCCCCCTGCCATGGGCAGGGACACCCTCCACTAGACCAGGTTGCCCAAAGCCTCATCTAACCTGGCCTTGAACACTTCCAGTGAGGGGGCATCCACAGCTTCTCTGGGCAACCTGTGCCAGTGCCTCACCTTGCAGTAAAGATTTTTTTCCTTATATCTAATCTAAATCTACCCTCTTTTACCTTAAAGCCATTATCCCTTGTCCTATGACTCCATGCCCTTGTAAACAGTCCCTCTCCAGCTTTCTTGTAGGCCCCTTTAGGTACTGGAAGGCTGCTATAAGGTCTCCCCAGAGCCTTCTCTTCTCCAGGCTGAACAATCCCAACTCTCTCAGCCTGTCCTCATAGGAGAGGTGCTCCAGCCCTATGATCAGCTTCATGTCCCTCCTCTGGACTTGGTCCAACAGCTCCATGTCTCTCCTGTACTGGGGCCCCCAGAGCTGGATGCAGTACTCCAGGTGGGGTCTCACAAGACTGGAGTATAGAGGCAGGGGCACCTCCCCCCACCCC